AGCGTTAATTAAATACTTTGAGATGAAATTAATAAATATAATAATAATTAAGTTAGTTCTATCTTTATAATACCTAATATTACATAGCAATGTTGTAAGTAGTACATATAAAATAAAATCTAATATGTATCATTGATAACTAGAAACTTGAAATGTAGGTAATGCATTTAGAAATTTATATTTAGAAATAACATTAATAACATTATTAAAATTATAATAGATAAATATTAATAAACGCTATCAAAAATTTATGTAATTTTAAACTTTTTTTATGAATTACAATAAACATATTCTAAGATAATTAAAAGTAGCTTTATTATATTTAAAGAGATATTTTTCAGGAAAAAATCGAAATTTTTGCTTGATTTTTGAATCTTACGTTATAATGGTGATCTATCTTATAATAATCAATTTTTTATCTTATAATAATCAATTGATGATGTCATAAATAATTTTTATTTAAGAAATGACATGTAAAATATATTTTATTGTAATTTTTTTTTACCATTTTTTACATATTTTTTTATATAATTACAATATATAATATATATAATATTTAAAAAAATATTTAAAAAAATAATTTAAGAATGATTTGTAGATTTATTAAATATCATGACAATTTTTAATCATTATAATATTTTTAAATAAAATTTTCTATCTACTTGTAATTTCTTAACATTATTTTCCATTTTTAAATAAATACAAACATCAAAAAATATATTTAATATGTTTTATATATATAAATATGCTTATAATTTTTTCTAATTTATTTTATATTATTAATTATAATAAAATAATATACATTCAGATTTATATTTAATAAATCAATATAAATTAATAAATAATTAATTATTTAATTATTTTAATTACTTATTTATTAATATTTATAAAATATTAATATTTTATTAATTGAATAAATATGTTTTATAATTTGTAATAAAGTTAAGTTTACTATATTTTGTTCATAAAAATGATTTCTAAATTATAAATTTTTTTCAAACAATTTTTTTTGGAGATTGTTCAAAATAGATGAATAAATTTAAACTCGTTTTTAATAATGAGCGGAGAAAGGAAGAATGGTGATCGCATTTTTATTGCTTGAAGCTATTTGAAAAATATTCTGCAGACTATCTATAAAATCGACGCTGATCGAAAACAATGTAATTTAATTGGATTCAATTATTTACAAATTTGACATTTATTATAATTTAAATTATAATTTATTAATTGTAATTTTATATGTAAAGATTTCTAAATTTAAATTAATTATTTGAAAATATTATTTTAAATTAAAAAATAAATCAAAAATTAAAATTTTATTTATTTGATATATTTGATGGTTATAAATTAAGAGATATACTAATTAAATACAATATATGTTACAATATATGTACATTAAAATACTTGCAATAGATAATAATAATTTATTAATTGTAATATAAATTTTGTTTAATTTTAAACTATTTTTTTATTACAATACAAAATTATTAGATTAATTATTATACATAGTTATTATTATTTTAATTATTAGGAATTATTAGGAATTATTAGGAATTATCGACAAAATTAAAATAATATTCAGAATTTACATTAATGTTTAACTTCATTCAGTGAATTCAGTGAATAATCGATATATTTATTTATATTTTAAGAAGAACATTCATACATATAAATAATAATGTAATAGATATTATATTAATTTTTTAATTATTTACATCATGAATTTATTATTAATAGATTTTCTGTCGTTTTCAATTGAATAAGCAATGATACAATTATATAGCACTTGATTAACTATGTTTTACATTACTTATATAAATAAAAAAATTCATTGCAAATATCTGTTCTCTTTCGTTGCGTTTTATTTCCGATTGACCAACAATCGTGAAAAAAGTAACAAAATAAGAAAATTTATTTACTTATTTAAAACTGATATTTATCGATAAAACTAAAATAATATTCAGATTATCATTATGAAAAATTTAATTATTATTAAAATTATTATTTAATTAATAACTAAATGATATTAAGTGATTAATTATAACAATTTCATCATAATCTCTTTATTTATAAATTATTTTAAATTAATCTCTAAATAATAATTCCATAAAAAAATATGAAGGTATTTTTCAATCCATTTTTTAGACCAAATATTGATTTTCAGATCATAACATCTTGGAATGATTGCTACAATTAACAACAAATATTTTTTCTTACATTATTTGTATGTATTTTTTTTTTCAATCAAAACATTTTATTCCATTTTATTAAAATATAATAGGATATCATGTAAAATTAATTCATATTCTTTGAAAAAGCAAATAGAAAAATCTAATTTTATATTTTTTTTTTTTTGCATGTAAAATAATTATTTATTCAATCCATTCAATTATTCATTCAATCCAAAATTAATTAAATTCCTTACGCATATTTAATTTATTATTATTTTTGCTTTAAAATAATATTTTTCTTAATTATACTATTTTATAATACTATTTTATAATATACTATTTTAAAATACTATTTTATAATATACTATTTTAAAATACTATTTTATAATTTTTTTTAAAAAGTCAAAAAACTTATAATTTTTAACATTCTTGAGATTATCTTACTTAATCTTAAGACTCCTTATATTTTTACATATATTTTTTTCCAGTATATAATAATAAAATAATTATTCATTTTTCATTTCTCGAAAGTCTTTATTCAAAAATTAGGAAAGGTGCTAATTCATTTCAGTTATGATATTTCTACGAGCACAATAAACGACGACACTAAAAATGATTTATTATCGGAAGTATTTGTAAAACGATACAATGCACTTTTACGCATTCTTCGGAACTAGATGTTTATTCGAGCATTTCCGTTCACTTGAGCGATGTTAAATAATTATCTAATAAAACATATCGATTTATTTTTTTTCCTTTTAAAAAGCATTTACGTAATCTTTATGACCATTTCTTTGTATGAAAAATGTCAATTTGTTTTGTTAGTCAACTCGTTTTATTATGTATTTATATATTTAGATAAATTGTTTTTTTTTGAAAAGCATTTACGTAATCCTTATGATCATTTCTTTGTCATGAAAAATATCAATTTGTTTCGTTAGTTAACTTGTTCTATTATATAATTTTGCGTTTGGATAAATTTATTCTTTGTGAGATATGTGAGAATATATTGAAATATATTCTTTATTAAGATATAATAGATATAAGATATAAGATATATAAGATATAATAGTTATTTAAATGAATACATTTATTATAATTGGAAAGAAGTTGTCTAAAGTTGTCTTCTTATAATTAAATTAAATTTATAGAAAATATTTTTGAGATATAAATCAATGGAATTTATTTGCAAATAAATCATATATTATGAAATAAAATATTAGTAGGAAAATAACAAAAACCTATGTATAATAGTTATTTGAATGAATACATTTATAGTTGAAAAGAAATTGTTTAAAATTTCTTATAATTAAATTAAATTTATAGAAAATATTTTTGAGATATAAATCAATGGAATTTATTTGCAATAAATCATATATTATGAAATAAAATATTAATAGTAAAATAACAAAAACCTATAAATATTAACAATAAAAATAATAACTCTTCATATACAATTTGACATTTTCTTTTTATCTTTTTATCTTCTTTATCTCAATACAAGTGTCATGCAATTATTTTTTACAATTATTGTAACTAAAATACTTGCACATATGATTCTATTAACATTTAGATAAAATCTGAATTATGATTTCTTGACATTGAAAAATCAATGATAAATTTTTTTCACTTTTAAAGAATAATCATACAATTCTGACTTTTCTATTTTATTCTATTATACTCTATTATATATTTTATTCTATTATCTACAATATTTGTATAAAGAACAAAAATAAAAGTTTTTAAATTAAAGTAAAATAAAAAAAGTTTTTTTTAATCATTAATATTTTCCATTGATATTTTTCTACATTACCGCATTTATCAAAAATATATAATTTTTTTAACTTCTTATATTTCATAATCTTTTATAATTTTAATTATTAGTATGTTATGAGTCTTCCTTTTTTTCTTTATAGAAAATTAGATTTTTTTCGATTCTTGTTATAAATAATTTTCAAACCAATTCGCCACAAGTTTCGACAAACTCTACTTATATATAATTCTGTTATATTTCTTAAAACATTACATCTTATACTTTTGCTAAAAATAACAAGTTTCATAATCAAACCTTCTTCTTTTTTCTTTGTCGAATAAATTTTCTTTGATCCTCTATGAATAATTCCCAAACCAATATACTTTCAGCATGAGTTTCTATCGATTGTTGGCAAAAATCCTAAATAAAATGCAAAACAAATACACGAAGCCGCTCCACACGAAGAAGGCGGAAAGAAAAGAAAGAAGTGGTTTCTTGTTCGGAACCGACGTTCACCGTCCTACCTATTCGTCTCCCACTTGGTGAAGGAGAGAAGTAAAACTCTCAGACGTTTTCAGATCTCCAACAGTCCAAACTCGTCCTCGTCAACGTGTGAACTTATCAACCAACCAGGTTTGACGCGTTTTCGCCATTGTCTTCTTGTTTTCGCTTCTCCGAGCAACACGAGAAATACGGAAAGAAGACACGATCAATTCTTTCTTCTCGCTAAAACAAGCTTGGGAATATTATTTTCCCCTTCGAGATACGCTTTCGTTTGTTTTCATTTATTTTCTTCTCATAAAATAATTTCAGATTCGTTTCTTCTTTTTTCTCTCTCTCTCTCTCTCTCTCTTTGTTACATTTCGTTCGTAAGTTAATAAATTTGTTGTATACATACGAAAAGTGAAGAGTATAAGATTTATTTGAGGGAAGTTTAAAAAGATAAAGTAGTGGATTGATTAGTTCTATCAAATAAATTTGAAATAATATCGAATAAGTTATCGAATAAGTTATCAAAGAAGAAAGAAGAAAAGAGCGTAGTGTATCGATGTTCCGGTAGTGAAGTTCCTAAAAAGAAAAAAAAAGAAAATTCAAGTGCGAATACTGATCGATAATTGAAGACAAAGGAAAATCGTTGACGTGATGAGGCAGAGGAACGTTCTGTGCTTTCTATGGATCGTTACGATCCTGAGAATAGAGGATTTCGTGGTTGCTGAAGTTGATCCGGCAATTTTGTCAGAATCTGATTTGAGTCATTTCCAACAGGTAAAAAAAATATTTTGTTTAATATATTCTTCTTCTTCTTCTTTTTTTTTTTAGAATCATTTAGTATCTTTTTGAAAAGAAATTTAATTATTTTTCTTATCTTATCTTTCTTCTTTCTTCGATAATAGATGTGATTTTTCTTGAATATTCGATTATTGAAATTGCTGATTTTCTAAGTTCATCTATTTGTAATATTATATATAATATTATATTAAATTAAACAATTAGAGAATTTTTGAATTAGAAATATTAAATCGATAATTTATAAATGAATTATATCATATAATTTTAATATCATATAATTGTATTTCTAAAATTATTTTATTGTTCTGTAACAAAATTAAAATATATTATAATAAGATACAATAATGGAGAAACATGTGCATGATTTAAAAAAAAAAAAATATGATCAATCACAAATTAAAGAAAAAATTAAAAATTTGTTTAAGAAAATGCATTCACATTCATAGTATTAATTTTTACTATACAATATAATACTAATGAGATTTACAAATTACATTAATAATGCAAGTAAAATGTAAAAATGTTGATAGAACTTTCATTTACTCATTTATAAATGAATTACCTATATGATATATGAAATTCATCCTTTTCTTATTTATGTAAATTTTTTTTTATGCAAAAATACTAATATTTTTATGATGATACATTATAAATCGATGAATATTTTTTCATAAAAAAATTTTATTACTATCAAGAAAATATATCAATGATTGATGTATTTTGATCAAATTTTATACCATTGGATTATCGATTTAAAATGTATTTGTACTACTTTTTCATTATCCTCTTTTATTTCTTCTATTTAAATGTTTATAAAAAATATAAAATATATAAATATATAAATATAAAAAATATAAAAAAATAGTTTAAATAAAAATTATAATGTTTTTATTATTTATTAAATCTCTAGGAATTATAAAAAAAAATCAGAAAAGAAATTTAATTTTCACAAAAAATAATTTTTTTCTAAAATTTTTTGTCACAGATTTACTAATTTTTATAAAAGATCTAATTTTTATTTCAACTATCTTTTAATATTTTTATTGTTTATAAACACTTAAATAAAAAAGAGACTTGAATAAAATTAAAGTAGAAAAATATTATACTAATAAAAATGCTCTCCAATCATAAAAACAATTATAAAAACAATATCTATTGAATTCGCAACAAATCATATTAATGACTTTAAATATTTTAAGAAAGAAAGAATATCTTATAATGCATTTATTATTTTTTTTATTTATATATTTATTTTTTTTTTTATTTTTTTATTGTATCTTGATTCAGCAATCGTTGAGATCATTCACGAAAAGATTGACTTTTTTAATGATTTGAATATCATTGTAGCAGAAATTACCGATATTATCAATTGTGTATTTCTATTAAGAAATATAGATAGAGTTATTTTCTTATCTTGTAGTATAATGAAAAATTGATTTTACATTTTTTATTAATCGAAATAGTATTATTGAAAGTATAGTGAATAGTATTAGTGGAAGTATTATTGGAATATATATATATATATATATAAATTATATATATATATATATAAAATTAAAATTTAAAGATTTAGAAATTGACAAGCTGTTTAAAGTTTAATATTTATTGCAATATTTATAATATTTATAATTATAAATTTTTTAATTTTAAAAGTATGAATAACTTTGTTTTATGATATATTGAATAATCATTAAATCATCATTATATTATCTTAATATAATAAATTATTTATATTATGTTATTATAAAATATATCATTAAAATTATTCGTATTTTCTTAAAAAACAAAATTTTTTCGATAAAATGAAATTTTTAGAAAACATGTTTTTTATAAATTGCTTTTTCAAATAAAAATATATTTTTGATTTTTTAAGTTTATTTTAATAATAATTCAATTTCTTTTAACATAATTTAGTTTTTTTTATGAATTTAACATATATGACATAATAAAAATATATATTTCCTTATAGATATTGTAATAAAAATAATTTGTATTTGTTTATATTGATTACGAATTGATTATGTATTTGATTTATATTGATTTTTGAATAACTATAATATTTTAAATAACCCTTAAAATTCCATAAATATATATAATTTAATTATATTTGTAATTATTTATAATTATTTAATATATAATATAATATATATAGTTTATTTTATGTAATTCAAATTTAATAATATAATTTTGAAAATAAAATTTTATGTAATAGTATTGCTAAATTATATATATAGATATAATATATATATATTATATCTATATATAGAATAATAATATTATATAATATATAATATAATATATTATATATCATATATATATAATATTATATTATATAATAGATATATATATATATATATATTATATTAATATATAAATTATATAATAATATTATATAATTTTTAAAAATAAAATTTCTTATTCAAATTTGCACTTCATTTACTTCATTTCAACATTTGCATTATATAATAATACATAATTCTTTCTTCAACATTTATAATTATATTAATTAGAACTTCACTCAATAATTGTATTAAATCGATCAACAATCACTTGATAATTTATACATGTAAAAACTTTTCAAATATTTTAAAAACAAAATCTATTAAAATCTCATTTTAATCTTTTATTTAAAGAAAGATATATTTAAAGATATATTTAAAGCATGAATATGCAATCTGTTTTTTTAACAATTTTATATGAAAAGTTTCATAACATAGATAAGATAGCGTTATTATTTTTCTTTTTTTTTTTTTTCTCAAAAATTTAATGTTCAATTTTTAAATCGTAGTGATAAGAATTTACGTGTAGATCGAATAATTCATATTACCATATAAAATCTATCATTTGATAAAAAAAATGTAACATGTAATTTTTCTTTTCATCAAAAATTAAATATAGAAAATAGATTTAGAAAATCATGGATCAAATCTATATTTGTAAATTATTTTTTTACACATTTTAATTTTACAGAAGTTTCAGGAAATTTCTTTATTTCATATTTTCAAGTGAATTTACAACATATTTCAATATTTGAAAATATAATATATTCTTTATTTAAGTTTAACATTATCCACAATTTCTTCCAATAAATTTTACGAATTTTACGAATTTTACGAATTTTTTCTCATCCGTAATAAACGCTATCGCATCCAGCTATCGAATTTCGAAAAAGTTTTTTTTCGCGGCTTCCATCGTTTCACATGCAACACGATCTAACAACTATCGAGCATCGCCTGACAAAGAAATTTCCACGTGCGTTCCAATGTGCAATTAAAATCTATTTCCAGATCTCTCCACCTGTTAACGAGTATCCATGTATGTACGATGTATGCACAGTGTGAAAGCTATTTGCAATAAGTATGCAGATTTGATGAAATTACTTCGGTCATTCTCATGCCTGACGTAATCAGACCATAGTAAGTAAGAACATTTTTGCGAGCCTTTTTTGCTATCTTTCCGGACAATTGCGAGCAAATTTCACTGGTTTTAGCCAGTAAAATCCACGAAAAAGAAATAGTTACGACTCTGTTTAATTTTATTCGCTCTGTTAAAGCTTCTTCGCTTGCGTTGTGATTCTTTTTCGCACGTTTTCGATTTCACTCGACGCTATTTTTATTTTTTTCATTGCTTTCGAGACGTATTTAACAAGTTTTATATTTATTAAATTTTTATTAATCACGTTACATATCAATAATAATTTTTTTTCGTATATCAAATTCACTTCTACGAGATATGTTTCGAATGATATGATAAATATATGTATAATGACTTTTCTCACTTTTGATAATATTATTATAAAGTATAAAAGTTTTATTAAAATGTTATTTTAATTGCAGAAGTTTTAATTTTTTAATATATTATTATATATTTATTATTTATATATATTTATTATTATATATTTATTATTTTATTATTATTAAGATTATAAATTTGTTCATTACTTCATGAAAATAAATAAAAATATAATATTTTCTTCATTTAATTTCTTCAAGATAATCATAATATGTTTAATTTAATTGGAAACGCTTAAATATCTAGAAAGATACAAATAATATTAAAAAATATTTTAGATAACAAAGATACATTGTGCAATAACAATTGTGCAACATTGTGCAAATTAACAATTTTTCTATAGATTTTTTATATTTCTAGTATGTAACCAGACAAATGGAATCGTTTAATGTTGTATAATAAAATATAATAAAATTAGCTACGATACTAAAGAAATATTATAAAGAAGTTTATTTTAAATAAATATATAATATAATATCTATAATACATACATATTGAATATACTATCAAAAATTGCAATTAATTAAATTGCAATTAATAAACAGAACTCTTCTTTGAATAGTAAATTTTAAAATTCAAAGCAAATATTATTGACAATTGCATAGTCACATTGTTTACATTTCAGCAGTTTATTTTAAAATAATTCAACTCAAGATTTCTCTTTGTCATCAAATTCGATGTTAAGTCAGTGGAAAGAAATAATATTTCGTGAAATTATTCTCTTGATTTTTAGTTTATATTTTCGCTCATAGAATTTATTAAATTTTTAATAAATCATGTAATGTTGGCTTTTTGAAAATAAAAATGTTTGAATTTAATTCTGTAAACATAATTAAACGAAAACAGAGAAGATATAAAACAAATGTTATAATGAAAATAATCAAATTAAATAGAATAATATTAAAGTAAATTTTATAATATAATATTATAATAATATAATATAATAATTCTTACTTCTTTGTTTTGATAAAAAATTAAGAATTTTTTCATTCTTTGCAAATTTTTTTTTTATTTTGATAAAAAATTAAGAATTTTTCCATTTTTTACAAATTTTTCAAGATTACAAATACATTATTTCTGTAACTTATTAAATTTATTCTATTTTTAAAATTGTAAAATATTAAACTATTAAAAATATTAAACTTAATAAAAAATTTAATATTTTTTTATTATAAATATTTTTA